GATTCCCCCACCAAGAATTTAAAGCAATATGTTTTAACTCTTCAGTCCCAGAAACCTGATTTTAATATAATAGAATTTCTCTTAGAGGAGATTGAAAGAAGGGATGAGATTGTGAATCAGCAACTTGAAAAATTTAAGCAGGAAACTAAGGAATTGGTGAAATCCAAGTTTGACTTTTTGCAGCAAAAAATTTTAAAATTGCCAGAATTCATGATTCGGTTGGATACAAATACTAATTTACTAGAGTCAAAAATGGATGAAATTCAAGATAAATTGGACAATAGATTTCAAAAAATTGAAAATGATTTGTTAAATATTCAGGATTATAGTTCAGAAGAAAAATTTAAAATGGATGCTGACCAAAAGTCTGGTAATGTAGAATATCTGGAACAGAGGATTCAAAAAGAGGTTCTAAAGATACAATATAATTTCACAGAATATGCAATAAGACTTAGAGGTTTGCAGGAAAATAACAGAGATGACTTAAGGAAAATATCTTCTGAATTTCTAGCTGGGATTTTAAAGATTCAACCTGAGGAAGTGTTTTGTAGGATTGACAGAGCTTATCGAATAAACTCTTGGACTGCCAAGCAAAGGCAATTGCCTAGAGATGTGGTAATCTATTTTTCAGATAAAGAAATTAGGAATAAAATTGTGCAAAATTCCTTCAATTCTAATTTGCAATTGTATGGAAGAAAGATTTGGATTTACAAGGAACTCCCACCTAAGATATTAATGGAAAGGAAGAAATTTGGCTTTCTGGTGTCTGAGTTAAAAAGGAGAAATATTCAATTCCGGTGGGACGTCCCAGTTGGTATTATATTGAGATACCAAGGAGAAAGATACCAGTTAAATACTGTTGAAAGGGCGGAAGAATTTTATCAAAATAGGTTGAAAATGAATTTAACGTCTTCAGATATAATACAGGATAAGCAGAAGGAGCTGGAACTAAAGACAGAGACTGTACCAGATAAATTGCCTTTGGATTTATCGGATACCCCAGCTGGATTATCTACAAATTTGAGAGAAGTGCCATCTGATTTTAATGTGATGACTTATCAAGGCAAGGACAAGCATGGAAACCAATTAGAGGATATACAAGGGATAAAAAAGAAATGCGAGACACAAAAAATTAGGATGGAGGTCAAACCCACAAAAAGAAAACAAAAAAAGAAATAGGTTGTACAAAAATAGAAATTTCTAACCCAAGCAACAGTGAAGCCAGTGATTTTAAAATATGAATGATTATGTGAAAACATAGAGGAGGCGACATATTGGTCAATATCATCCTGAGGATAGTGGCAGATCTCTGCATTGCCGTAATTTTGGGACATGGAAAGAGCCTCAAATTGATGGTTTTGAATTATCTATTTTGAAACTTCTTTTTGTGTTGATAAATATATTATAATTATCTTGAATTATAAGGCAAGAGAATCACATTGGGACATGCAGAAGATCGGGTTGTTACCCAATACGATGATGGAAATTAATAATCCTGATGAAACCCACAATTATTATTATATGGAATACAATTATAATGTCACTCGGGTGGTTGTTTTTACTTTTATATATATAAGAAGATGTTTACTACTGATGGGGGCAGATATGATTGGAGATCTTGAATAAACTGTTGCATCCGCAAGCTATGTCACCCTATTATGGATGTTGGTTTTAACAATCCAGTGGAAAGACTTCAAGAAGATATTATATGGACTATAAATTTAAAGTTATTGTCTTTTCTTTTTTTTATTTAGATATAATGGAATATATATATATATATATTTTTAAGTAGTGTGGGTAGTGAATTAAAGATATCAAGAATTGTTGTGTATGGTAAATTTGTAAGACAGTGGGTGAATAAGCTAGCTACAGACTGATTAGTTTAAGAAAAGGGATTTTTAAGTGATACATTTAGGGGAGTGGAGGAAATGGATAGAGTGGAATAAATGTTAAATTAGATTTTATGGGGAGCCCGCTTTGAAATGTTATTAAAGTAGGACTTATTGTATAGTTTTAAAGTGGAAGGTGGTTTTGAATTGTTGCAATAATGCATAGATATAAAACACTATTATGCTAAATTAGAGTTATTTTATAATAGTTATAGTATAATGTGTTTGTTTTTTTTTGTTTTGTTTTTTTTTCTCTTCTTCTTTTCTGAAATGTATGGATAAAGGGGGATTTATAATACTTTTAGTAAGTAAAGGTCAGTATTTTGAGGAGGGAGTAAGTAATCTGTTATGAATTAGGGTTTTTTTTTGTTACGAAGAAGTCACAGGGGGGGAAGGGTGGGGAGGGGGGGTTAGGGAGGGGGGGGAGGGGGGGGAAAAAGGGGGAAAAATTTGTATTTGAAAACCTTTTCAATAAAAAAAAAAAAAAAAAAAGAGTCTGTACGGATTAAAGCAATCCGGCAAAAGATGGTACGATTGCTTGGTAAAAGTACTTAAGACCATGGATTTCAACGCCACAACTGCTGATAACTGTTTCTTTGTAAAAAAGAGTAATGATCATATTGAATTTGTATTAATTTACGTGGACGATATTTTATACATTGGAAAGCATAAAGAGAGCAGGGAAATCTTTGTAAATAAGTTAAATGAACACTTCTCACTGAAATCTCTGGGTAAAGTGAATAAATACCTTGGTGTGCAAATTAACAAAACTAAAAGGGGATTCAAACTTACACAGAAAGATAAAATCATCGAACTCCTAAACAAATGTAACTTAAATAATGCCAAAACCTGTGACACCCCTATGCAAACTGATTTTCTTAGAAACACTGATGAATCTTCCCCTGAGTTTAAAGACAACACATTTTACAGATCAGTTATAGGTTCACTCCTTTATATATCTAATTGGACTAGGCCAGATATTGCATTACCTCTCAATCTATTGTCAAGATATGTTAGTAAACCAACCTTGTATCATTGGGAAGCTGTCAAAAGAATTCTAAGATATCTGAAGGGTACATTAGATTTTTGTTTAATGTTGGAACCCAATAATGACAGAGAACCAAAAATTACTTGTTATGCTGATGCAGATTGGGCTGGTGATACATCATGCAGAAAGAGTACTTCTGGTTATGTTTTTCTATTGAATGATTGTCCAGTTTACTGGTATACTGGTAAACAAGAACTAGTAGCCACTTCTACTACAGAAGCGGAATATGTTTGTTTGTCCAAGGCTGCAAATAACCTTGTATGGTTCAATGATCTGATCACTGATGTTTGGAAGAAACCCACTTTACCATTTATTATGCATGAAGACAATAAAGCGGCCATTGAAATATCCAGATCCGATGCAATTGGACAAAGGTCCAGGCATATTGATATAAAGTTTAAGCATGTGAGACAACTGTCTCAAGACGGATTCATTAAAGCAATACATTGCGATACTTCTGAACAATTAGCTGACATATTAACAAAACCCTTACCTTCTAAACAACACAAATATTTAACTTCTAAATTATATGTATTATATTGTCCTGAATCAGAATGTAATTAGTGTTGTGTAACGAACCGGCATTTAGAGGGGGATTTGTCAGATGTAAATGCCTTATTCTCCAATGTGTAAATAATGTATATATGGAACATCAGAGGTTAACTTATTCTTTGGACTTTAATGTATTCATAACTTACCACTCCCATTCCTAGCTCCACCCCTTGTATATATAAGGAGCCACCCTCACCATTCTCGCTGCTTCTACCTTGAATATTCAGTGAATATAGAATGCCTATCATAATTAAAAAGAAATATATTTAAAGCTCTAACTCCTATTATCTTTATTGAGTCTGATCCTGAAAATATTGCAACATTATGATTCCTTTAAAATTTGAAAAGGCTTTATGTTTTTATGTTTTTTTTTTCTATAATTTTTCTTTTCATTTAGTTTTGTTTGTTTTATTGTTGAGATTCCTAATCTATCTCAGAATGGCTACATGTATTCTGGAGGGGTATGCTGGAAGCAGAGGAATACAAAATACTACTGGGCTACAGTGAAAGTTTTGAAACACCAGGTAGCTTTACTGTGAATTTTTCAGTACTTGCTATATATAGTGTTAAGGACATGCAGCTATGATAATAGAAAAATTGCATGTTGCTTATTTCTAAGCAACAAATGATAAACATCTGTTCCATCAGAAAAGCAAAATATATGAGTTTCCAGTTGTTAGTTCTGAAGCCAAAGAAGATGTAATATATGTGGAAATTGGAGGGAGGCAGAGATCATGGGAAAAACTGGGCTGGAAAAAGTAAGGTTAAATTATATCCCACATTTGGAATGCATTCTTGATAAAATGTTGTTAAATATTAAAATATGAAACTGGATTTTCTCATTAAAATGCCTTTATGTTTATGGTTTTATGTTTTTTAAAACTACAGACCCATTTAAATACAATTATTTTATTCCAGTAGTGTGAAGCCCAAATAAACTGGGCTGTAAAAATTCCCAATGTCCATTTAGTAGAAATTATATCACTGCCCTGTTCCTTTCAGACTTTAGTGGATTTTTTTCTTTAAATCTGACCCATTGTTGCCTTTAATACTAGAAATGGATCATGGGCCAGCAACTTAAATATTTTGAACAAATGTGGCAGAAAAAATGCTGCAAAAAATTCAATTAATTTTAACATGAATCTTGAGTAGTCAAATTCTATTTTTACTATTTTGCATACTCACACTTTATCTGTTTCGTTGTGCGGTAGCAATCTGTGTATGCTCCAGAGCAACTGGAGGTTGCACAAGGAAAAAAAGTCTTGCTTAAAAAAGATCAACAGATTTAATTTTTATACTTCAGTGCAAGAGGTGATCATGCTAGGAAATATCCTTGCCTACTCCCTTTAGTTCATAGTCATATTCTTGGGACCAAGAAATCTTGGAAGTAAAAGTACGGCAAGAACAATTTTAATTTACTTATAACTATCAGCAAGATGGCTTGAGTTTCCTTCAGCAAATAAGAGTTGTAGAAGAATGCATCTGATTCCTGTTTTTCTTTTTTTCAATAGGTACTGCTGATACAATTGTAATTATTGTTGGGTATCCAAAAGGAATGGAGATCCTGGAGCCAGTCCTAAGAGGAATTCCAGTGAAAATTACTATTAGTGTTGGTAAACAACATGTACAAGAATAAATCAACGGACAGTCAGTTGTGTTTGTAGCAATTGCATTTATCACAATGATGATTATATCTTTAGCATGGCTTATATTTTTTTATGTACAACGTTTTCTCTATACTGGATCACAATTTCGAAGCCAGGTAATTACTGGTGCTGATTATCTTTTTACCTTGTGTAATATAAGTCCATCTTTCTGCCCAATCTTTGAATGCTGTTTAACCTGAAAAGTTCTCTTAATGTGCTGCCTGTTACTATCTGTTATAACTTGTTTCCAGAACTAGATATACCTGAAAATTATAGTTCAGATTAGTACTTTAAACTAGAAGTAGGTAGCAGTTATTTTCTGTTGATGAAACTAATTGTTATACTTATCCTTATTTTTCTATTATCTGTGGAGGTGTAACCAAGTTGAACTGCCTCTTTAATTAATTTAACAATATACTTAGTACAAGGTGAGGCTGTTCAGAACTGTCAAAAGTATTTCAACAAGCAGGTATTGTACAAACACTTAACAGTATTCCAATTGTTGAAACAGCTGCTCCTGAGCTACTTCCAGCACAACTGCTTTAACAAATTTTTAAAATAATCCTTTGTCCATGTTTCTATGCATTACATTTCAAACGCTTTGCATGGCTCTGCTGAGCAAACAGTCAAATAAGCTCAGGATTTTAATCCTTGCAACTTCAGCTTCTCTAGTACAAATTTCCATAAATTAGGCATAAAGCAGATGGAAAAGCTTAATGTGATTTTTAAATTATCTTTTTTCTCCTGTTTGTCTATTGCTGCTTGTTCTTTTCTCTCTTCAATCTATTTGTCTATACTAGTATAACTCAAAGAATCACAGAGTTGCAGGGCCCTTCAAAGTCACCTTACTCAGCCCTCATCTAGATAAAATCCACTAGAGCAGGGGTGGACAAATATGGCCCCTTTATGACCTGTGGACTTCAACTCTCAGAATTCCTGAGCCAGCTTGGCTGTCTCAGGAATTCTGGGAGTTGAAGTCCACAGGTTGTAAAAGGGCCACAGTTGCCCACCCCTGCACTAGAGCATGATGTCCAAACCTTTGGCTTACCTGGGCCACATTGAGTAAAGAGGAGTTGTCTTGGATCACATATAAAATATATAAATAACAATCTTCCTTTATTGTTTACATTTTTATTACGACCTTGTGAGGCTGTGTTACTAGCTGTCCAGGGCGCATGCAGCCCATGGGTTGGACATGTCTGCAACAGAAAATCCCTGATGACCATTTTCATTTTTCTATATGAAGATCTCTAGAAAAAAACTTACTACCTCACATTGCAGTTAGTTTCCCTGGCTGACAATTCATATAGTCTGGAAGTTATGAGCCTCCTAGCCTGAGTCTGGTTCCTTGTACTTTTAACTCATTGGTTCCAGCCTGCTCTGTGGGGTGACAGGAATAAACTCCCTAATTTACACCCTAGGAAATATTTGAAGATCGCTACCATACAGTATCGACCCTCAGTCTTGTAACGGTTTCTCAGAGGGTTTTGTTTTAATACTGTTCACTAGCTTGCTAGAATTTTCCAAACTTTCCCCAATTTGTCACTGTCCCCTTTGAATTATGGAGCCCAGAACTGGACACATTACTCCAAATTAGTCCTCATTTGAACCATGTCAAATGAGACAATTACTTTCAGTGTTCTGGACTGCCTGTAAAGTGCCCAGGATACCTTTTGTTTTTTGTTTGGGGTTTTTTGGCAGATATATCACATCACTTTGGTGGCTTGTGTTGATACCCTGATTCTTTTTATGTGTACTACTTTCTCTTTCTACAACTGTCACATTTTTCTTCACCCGTTGAAGAACTTAGTTTTTCCCCTATTAAATTCTATCTTATTGTTTAAACCAGGAGTAGTCAACCTGGTCCCTACCGTCCACTAGTGGGCATTCCAGCTTTCATGGTGGGTGGTAGGGGTTTTGTCCGATACTGAAGCACTTTCCTTTTTTTAATTTAATTGATTTTTTTAAAGATTTTATAGCATTATTTAAAAACACTTTCATTAGGTTTTCATAAAATTCCCTGTGACAATTTAAATTTCTGAAAATATACTATTTGTATCGCCCGCGCATAAGTTTAGTTCACGTTACATAAGTGAAACTAAATGGCGCTATAGTGCGACCGCAAACAAAAGAGCCTCGTCCCAGAATAGCTCGTGCATTACCATTACTGGGGAACTGGTGGGCGGTTAGAAAATTTTACGACTAACAGAGATACAAAAGTGGGCGGTAGGTATAAAAAGGTTGACTACCCCTGGTTTAAACCCTCTGCTCGAATATTAACCAATGGAAATATTTTCCTATGGCTCTTAACTAATGAATCAAGCCATTTGAGCAAATATTCTTGGAAGTCTTAATTTTTTAACATGAAGCCATTGTAACTATTTTGTTCAATAAAAAGAGAATGTTAGCAAAATGGTTATCATCTGAATTGTGCTATTGCATTCATGCAAAATTTTGGTCCTTATAGCATACTCTATGGATTTTCATTTTATGTCTTCAACTTATAATACTGCCCTAATCAAGGAACTACAAACACAAAGAAGCTTTCTAATAGTAAACAACAGCCTACTGAAAGAACCACCAAGAACACTCCCAGCCACACTGACAGGGCAAGCCACTAGTACATAAAAATAAGAGCAAACCCCATTCCCTTCAAGCACTGATGGTGTTACCTATTTTGGTAATGAAACACTTGCAAGAAAACTACCAAGCTCAGAGAGCACCAAGGATCTCTAATGGTGCAGATTTACTTATACTATGACAGATCTTAGATGAGTGCTGCTCAGAACAGAGCAACATATTTCTTTGTAACATGCATATTTATATATCTTATTTTTTTAAGGGTCAGAGAGAAGAAACTATTGCTGCAATTGCCCAGCTGCCACTGTATACTCTGAAGGATGAAGATAAGGTAATTACCTAAATTTGGCATTGGGAATAATAAACTTCACTTTTCTAATAAGGTTTTTTTTAATATTTGCAATTCCTTTCAAAATGAATGCATTTTCTATGCCATACAAATTATCAGTGGAAGTTTAGTAGGATTAATAGATCTCTTCATCTTAACTTACTGTATTTTCTTTCAATTTGAGATTAAACAGCTAACTAATTATACTGACAGTTGCATCTCACGTATTTTATGGACATATTCCTTCATATCTTTGTATGAAATTGAGTTTATATGTTGTGTTTCAATATATTGTAATTAAATAGGTTTCTGATGATTTGCATCATTAAAATCATAAAAGGTATCTAAACCATAAATAAAAGAAATAATCTTATGCAGTGACAGCATCCTTGTATTCAAATGCCTTCCAGACTAATCAAGTTTTAATTTTATTTATTTATTTATTTATTTAAATTTGATTTATATGCCGCCCTTCTCCGGAGACTCAGGGCGGCTTACAATGTGCTCAGCAAAAATTAATTTTTGGAACTCCAAAAATAAGGGTGTTTCCCTAATCTGGGATGATGCTGTTCCTAAGTATAGGTGCCACTAATGAAAAATGTTATTTGCAGGCCTATGTTCCTTTCACCTCAAGCAAGTACTAGAAAATTTAGGTGGAGTGTACATACCAGACAATGCAGACTGATTACTTCTGCATTGAAGAGGTGGTCCTATTTGTATCAACAAACTATATAGAGATTTATAGATTAAAATCAATTTTTGAATTGTACCCAGATACCTATTGGCAACCAGTGCAGTGAATACTAACAGTCGTCAACTTTTGACTGTAATTTAGCATTTGTCTGAAATGTTATAGGATTTCTTGCTTAAGCAGGGGTTTGACTAGAGGTCCCTTTCAACTTTATTCTGATTTTAAGGAATTATGGTTTTTAAGTCATTAAGCAGGTCACCATATGACCAGACCTGATTTTATAATATTTTTTACAACTTTTTTGCTGCAGTCTTAAGCAATTCAATTTTACCCAATAGCCATTTTTTGCCAGAAACCAGTAATAAACGAGAGGAACCAGCAAAAGTTAAAAATCATGGTCACATGATTATGGAAGGCTGCAAATGGCCATAAAAGTAAGCCAGTTGCCAAGCTCCCCAAATCTGAACACATGACCATGGGTGGGAATAGTGGTGAAGCTATTATAACTTTGAATTTGGGTCATAAGTGTCTTTTAGTACAGGGGTGTCAAACTCAATTTCATTGAGGGCCGCATCAGGATTGTGGTTGACTTCGAGTGGGGGGGCAGCTGACACTGCTGCTGTGTTTGCTCTCCTTGGCCAGGTTGCTCATGGTGTGTGCAGTAGGGCAAAGTGTGTGGATCAGAGGGAGGCCCACTTCATCTCATTAGGAGACCAGGCTTTGTAACCAAAGCATCCTCAATGATAGGATGGAAGACCACTAGGAGAGGTCAGGAGGGGACAAGGGGATGGCAAAAGGCAGCAGGGCTGCTGGTGGCCAAGTGCTTCCTTCCCTCCCTCCCTTTCTTTTTCCTTCCCTCTTATTTATTTATTCATTCATTCATTCCCCCTTTCCCCTTTTCTTCTTTTTCCTTCCTTGCTCTTTCCCTCTTTCCTTGTCCTGTTTTCCCCACTGGAAATAGCTGTTTGCAACACACAAGGAGGGGATACTTTCCTAAGAACTCACAATTCAAGAATACCAATGTGCACCTGAGTTATCTCAGGGTGGGGAAGGCCATGGGGGGCCTAGTAATAGAATAGGCCCTCAAGACCTCCCTGACCCACTAAAATACCTCATGCTTCTCCCTCCATTCCTTCCACAAGGACTCACTTACCTTGCAAACATCTGTCTCCTTTCTTTGTTTCTCTGTTTCTTTGCCTTTGCTTTGAGGAAGGGAGAGGAGAGTTGTCTGGGAAATGCTTTTCGTGCCGAGAATGGACGCTCGTGGGTGCTACAATATCGCACAGATTCAGGCACCCCTCCTCTTTTGCAGTGTCAGGGACCCAGAAACGTTAATCTCGACGTGAAAAGTGTTTGCTGGTCTTCTGCTCCTCCCTTCCCCCCTCCCCAACTACTTTCCACTTAACTACTTAATGAAACCTTGTTGCCCCATAGAGCATACTTGCATGCAAATGGGGGGGGGAGAGAGAGAGAGAGAGAGAGAGAGAGGGAGGGAGGGAGGGAGAGAGAGAGAGAGAGAGAGCGCAATCCAATTGTGTTTGTGTATGGGAGAGAGAGCGATCCCTACAGGGCACCCAAGCTGTTGACAGGAGCCACTGAGCAATGAGGCGGGGTGGTGGTGGAGTATGAAGCAAGGCGAGGGTGTGTGGAGCTGCCCCCCTCCCCTTTGACCCACACCGGCTTACCTGAGCGCCTTGCAGCCAGGCACTGAAGCACGAGACAGCGAGACAGGGGGGCGCGGGGGGGCTCTCCAAACTCTCTGTGTATGCTCCATGGCTTAGGACCAAGGTACTTACAAGACCGCCTTCTGCCACCAATAGCCTCCCATCAACCAGTATGCTCCCACAGAGAGGGACTCTGCCTTCTCTGTGGGGGGCACCTGCCCTCTGGAATGAGCTGCCCCCGGAGATTCGTAGGATCCCCGACCTTTGCACCTTTCGCCGTGCCCTCAAAACGCTATTGTTTCACCAAGGAGGGCTGGCCTAAATGCTATTTTAATGGGTGGTTTCTATTTTAGCTCTTTCGGCCAAATTATTTAATATTTTTAAATTGTCTTTTAACTTTCATATAGTTGTGGATTTTATTTTTGACTGTACACCGCCCTGAGTCCTTCGGGGGAAGGACGGTATAAAAATTTAATAAAATATATAAATAAATAAATGATGAAAGAGAGCGTGATCCCTGCTTTAGTTGGGGCATTCAAGATGCTGGGGGGTGGGGAGAGAGAGAACTAAGCAGCCGGTTTTCTCCTTGTCCTCCCCACTCAAGCAGTCCAGGGTCTGTGGGATAGCAAGGCCTCTCATCCCTCCTCCCCCCCCCCCGCACGGCAAACTCCAGCTTCAGTCAGGGCATTTAAGCTGCCCCAGCGCAGCGAACTTTGGCGGACTGGAGGCGGGTGTGAAAGGCCTGGCCCTGCAGTGATTCCTCGCTCAGTTGAAAAGCTTCGTTCAGCTTTCAAATAGAAAGGCTGGCCCACGTAAGTAAGCAGCGCACCAGGGCCACGGATGGCATTGGTTCCTGCACCCAGCCAATTCTGATTCCATGGCCGGCCTTACTGTTGGTGACGCTTCAGTGCCTGGCTGGCGGAGCTCTCAGGTAAGCCACTGCGGGGCGTGGAGTGGTGGGGTGGTGCAGCTCCACATACACCCCACCTTGCTTCGTACTCCACCCACCACCACCTCTCTTTCGCACCAGTGCGTTGCTCAGCCTCCTGCTAGGCGAGCAAGAAGTGGTGAAGAACAAAGCAAGGGCGGGGGTGTGGAGGCCGAAGCAAGGCAGAGGGTGCATAGCTGCCCCACCCGCCCCGCTCCAGTTTACCTGACGGCCCTTCATCCAGGCCAAACCCTCACCACCATCCCGCCACCCAGGGCAGCCACATCCCTTCACTAATTTTTCCAGCTCCTTTCGCCACCATGTGCAGATTAACTAAAGTAGTCTGTGGGACTAAGGTTAAAAAAATAGTTCAGACCTTCCAACTTTCAACAGGAATGGAGGAGAAAGCCTTGGTGCGGGGGGGGGGGGAGGAAACTACAGAGTTTGTGAGCCGCCTCCCCACACATTTTGGGTTGGAAAAGCCACCTGCACCAATCCAGAAGCCAAAAAGGGACACAGGGCGCATGCGCAGGGGGCGCTCACATTGCATTTTGGGATTGGGGCATGCGTCCATTCGTGCGCACGCTCTTGCACTTTTTTTTAAAATTTGACTTATATGCCGCCCTTCTCCGGAAACTCAGGGCGGCTTACAATGCATTAAGCAGTAGCCTTCATACTTTTGTATATTTTTACAAAGTCAGCTTATTGCCCCCACAAACTGGGTCCTCAATTTACCTACTTAGAAAGGATGCAAGGCTGAGTCAACCTTGAGCCTGGCAAGATTCGAATTTACTAATTGCAGCCAGCTGGAGTTAAATTACAATGCATTAGTCTGTTGAGCTATCCAGGCTCCTGGTGCCGAATGCTTTGGGCATTCGGCACCAAAAAGATTAAGCATCCCTGTCCTATTAGACTATGTACCAGTTACAAAGTCTGGTAGATCTTTGTATGACAAGGAGTTAGCCATCTTGGTTTTAAATACCATCAACTCGGTGCTCTTCCAAACATTATAACTGACTACTGAATTGAAGCAATTAACAATTATTCGATTCTGGTTCTTAGAATTATTTAATTTCAAATCCTATTTCCTTTGTACAAAGTTCCAACTAATGGAATTCAGAGTTTTAATAAAAACAATAGAAGATGGCAGCATTGCACACAATTATCCTAGTCTTTCATTTTTCCAAAAATTCTAGTTCTACTGCCTGACTGAGTACATTGATTGCTTCTTCTCAGAGTTGGCCCTGAGTGTAATATATACTTCAATCTGTTTTTGTTTTGCCAATATACTTAAATGTAGCTTTATTTTTTTTTTAAGTGTTGGGCTATTGATACAGAAAATTGTGCTATATGCATCGAAAACTATAAAGCCAAAGATACTGTTCGGCGTCTGCCTTGCAAGTAAGATTATTAAACTTTTTAATTTTATTTTAGTGGTTCTTGATTAAAAATATTCAATGAAAAAAGACTGTTTAAAAGAGGGTACATACATTGAAGCTATTATCCAATATGTAGTTCATTCAAGTACAAAGACTGAAGTCACTAAATCTATCTCACAATGTGACTTTTGTATGTCATGCTGAGAAAAACTGGGATGTGCAGTAAATCTAATAAATTTAAGAGAACGTGTTTTGATTGATATTAAGACAAGTTTTCCTTTTTAAGTTTTTACAAATCTCAAGTATTATTGTCATTTGAAGAATTATTTTATGGACTAGAAATATCGTATCTAAAGGCAATTATTATAAAATCACATTTCCAAACTTATTTCTGCTGGAATATATTTAGAAGAGGTGGTTCGTTTTCCCTATTGGTCTCACATTGGATAATTTATTCTCCTTAAGCAAGTGATCATTAACTAAGTGTGTCTTCAGGGCATAAAATATTTCAACAATAATTCATATTACAAGAGATATCACTCTGTCTTGGTTTGCTTGTTTAGGAAATTTATCAGATCAGAGCTTAATTTCACATATGTAACTTACGGTTTTTGTATTTAATATATTTATGAATATGAATTTACCAAAGACTTTGGGCAGTGAATCAACAAAAAACAATCACAGTCCATCGTATCAGTTAAAAATGGCTTAAAATGAATAGTAGTAGTCCCCCAAAAAGAAAAAGTACCCTCATCAGAGCTCCAGTTGCCAAATGCTAAATAAATAAGAGCTCCAGTAGCATCCTGGCCCCAATGCCTGGAGGTATAACCAGGTCCCAATAGAAAATAAATTGCGTTGAACTGTGGGATCTTTGGTGGCCTCTGAGCTTGGTTTTCTTGCAGACATTTCATTACCATACTAGGTAACATTAGTGGTAACAATCAAGCTCAGAGATCACCATGAGCCCCTCAGTATAGCCAGATCTTTATGGATTTGCAGAAACCAGCTAGGTTGGCTGCATATTTCAGGGAGGAGGTTAATTCTATAAGATGGGCACCATGATAGAAAAGGGACATTTCTCGGCACAGAGAATGGAGCTCTTTCCTTCTGCACCACCACGGCACATTGCCACCATTGGATAGGCATAAATTATCATGGTAATTGAAATCTTCTGGAAAAAAAAATTCAACACACCTGTAAATTTTGCTTTGCACAAACAAGGAATGATAATTGATATGTATTCTGCAAGAACTCTCTGAATGCCACCTATTGTTTTCATTGAATGTTACATTTTTGTGTTAGTTTATAATTTTTCTGTTATTGTACGTAAAGATATGAATTATGAGCCTAATATATTGGCAAGTGAGGCGTTTCTTTATTCAGTTTGTCAAACCCAAGATGAAAATAGATTTCCTATATTAAGCTTTTATTATCACGTTTTGACCAGCTGATTTTATTATATAAATATGAATTTGTATTTATAATACTAATTCTATAAATATGAATTAGAATGTCCTTATACTTGATTTTGATGGTAGTGTCTCTATCATTAGACATATCTTCCATAAACTGTGTATTGATCCCTAGTTGCTGGAACAGAGAATATGTCCAATGTGTAAATTAGATATCATGAAAGCACTAGAATATTGGGTATGTAGCAAACATATGTAATAAAATATATTTATTTTTGGTAATGCCTATGTTTTCTACAACTTGTGTGTAGAAAATAAAAAGTAGAAAATAACTTGTGTTATTAGCCCATCAAAATCAGTAAGAGATCTCAGATTTTCAAGTTTGCCATTAAGGTTTTGAAAGTACACTGGGTGGGGATATAGAAAAACAATTCTGGAGCTGCATGTGAGCTAAACTTCAAATGTTGTTCTTGGTATGTAATACTGTGTGTGCTTCTGTAATACTGTATGTGCTTCTCTGAACGATGCTTGTTGTTAAAATACTTGCTTTTCTTCAGAGATAATCTTTTGCTGGTTTCAAATACTACAAAGTCTAATTCCATCAAATTTAATTTTAAAAAATAATTTTATTCTTAGAATTTATCGATTAAACTTCTCTCCCGGTTCTATCCCTTCCATAGTAATTAATGGGATTTTCTCTAACTTTAAAGGAAGGATCTAAAAAAGTTGCAGTGCCTGAATCAATGAGTAACATACCAATTGAAAACAGGATATAGAATATTTCTATGGAAGAAGATAATAACAAAACAAGTGGCTTATCAGCATCCTGTACTAGCTCAATTGCATTAAATAATGTTTTAAAAGAAAATCCATGTGAAACAACAATTTTACTTGGTAGGTAATTTTAGAGATTTTTCTTTTTCTAGGAAAAAAGTATTTGTAAATTTAGACTTAGTGACGGATATGTTTTACCTTTATCTTTATATCATTTAAATATCTGGGTAATTCACAAAAGCTCTTATATCATTTCTGTTTGCATAGAGCATTGATCTCAGAATTATAAAATTTGAGTCTTTTCTAGATTAGAAAATAATTTGTGACATACTTATCATTAGGAATCAGTACAGTAGTATTTTGTTCTTTCATCAGAATAATAATTACAGATAGTTCCATAAGAAATAAATATGATACATGGAAAGTAAAACGACTCAGCTAAAAATGAACTAGGGAAAAGAATGGGAAAAAACATGAATATAAATTATATTAGTTCTAGGAAACTTTTTTAACTGTTTTGGAAATTCAAATTGAATGTATTTAGAGATTTATTTCATTTGTCTTTAATATTGATTATAAGCCAAGTTGGGATGTTTTTATTAAAAGTTAAACTGATGCAATGCATATTATAAGCAAATGTTACTTGTTATAATTCTTACATTTAGAGTGTAGTTCAACATCACGAATTTCGTATTTCTTTTTATAGAACTGGAGAGTGGAGATAATGAACGTGATCATTTGTCTTCTGGATCACTACAAATTTAATGAGAATTTGAGAAACTTGAACTCATAGTAAAAAAAATGTTTTTCAAAAATGTTTATGGACTTGAATCTAGCTTAATAAATACATACTTCCTAACATACTTCCTACTTCCTAGCAAGACTAATGTCTTGCTTACAGAGCTTTTCTCTATACAAGATAAAATACCGTATTTTCCGGCGTATAAGACGACTTTTTAACACATGAAAATCTTCTCAAAAGTCGGGGGTCGTCTTATACGCCGGGTGTCGTTCTCCTGTAACCAGGCAGACCAGCCCAAAAGGCTCTGACGAGCCTTAAATGGCTCTGGCGATCCCAGCTCTGGCGATCCCAGCTCTGACGATCCCAACTGAGTTCCCTGCAACTCAGCTGGGATGGCCAGAGCCATGTAAAGGATAAAAAGTTTTCCCCCTCCAGCTTGCTCACCTCAGCTGCTAGTCCCAACGCTTGCCTTGCTTCGCTTGCCTGAATCTATTCCATCAGCAATCAGCAATCAAGCAAGCAGGGAGTTGTGGACTTCAACTCCCAGAATTCCTCAGCCAGCAAAGCAAAGCTGGCTGAGGAATTCTGGGAGTTGAAGTCTACAAGTCTTAATGTTGCCAAGGTTAGAGACCCCTGTTCTATTGGGTAAGTTTTTTTCCCCTTTGGGAGCTTTAAAAAAAATAGTCAATTGGGTTTTTTTCAGTTGTTCTTTTTTAGACCTAGCCATTTAAAGTTTAGGAAGTTTTAAATTTAGCTTTCATATAAAAATAAAAATAAAATAAAATAATATTTGTGCAGCTTTCTGAGATTTAGTGTGTTTCTGTAGTGTTTCACTCTAACTACACAAACACACAAAATCTCACAAAGCTGTATGTGGAATTTTGTGTGTGTTTAGAGTGTGAAAGTTTTTTGGGGGGGCTTTTTGTGGCTGTGTGAGGTTCCTGCTTGTTGCAGGGGCCATTTTGGGTCTAGCACAGCTGCTTTTACATTGTGGGTGAGCCAGTTGTGTTGTGTTGTGTGTGTTTAGAGTGTGAAAGTTTTTTGGGGGGGCTTTTTGTGGCTGTGTGAGGTTCCTGCTTGTTGCAGGGGCCATTTTGGGACTAGCACAGCTGCTTTTACATTGTGGGTGAGCCAGTTGTGTTGTGTTGTGTGTTTGTAGAGTGTGAAAGTTTTTTGGGGGGCTTTTTGTGGCTGTGTGAGGTTCCTGCTTGTTGCAGGGGCCATTTTGGGACTAGCACAGCTGCTTTTACATTGTGGGTGAGCCAGTTGTGTTGTGTTGTGTGTGTTTAGAGTGTGAAAGTTTTTTGGGGGGGCTTTTTGTGGCTGTGTGAGGTTCCTGCTTGTTGCAGGGGCCATTTTGGGTCTAGCACAGCTGCTTTTACATTGTAGGTGAGCCAGTTGATGTTTTTTAATTTTTATTTGGTGTGCATTGGAAGAGGTGTAGTCTTATATGGCGAGTATAGCCCAAACCCTATATTTTAACAGGAAAAGTTGGGGGCCGTCATATACGCCCAGTCGTCTTATACGCCGGAAAATACGGTACACTAGTTCTGTTTTTGATCTACGAGAAGGGAGGGAAAGAAAAAAACCTGCTTTTTAAAAAGATTATCTGAAGGTGTCAGGTTGTTACTTATTCTCAGAAAAAAAATGGTGCCTTTCATAGAATGACATTCCTACCTCTTTCTATCCCTTGTCCTATTATTTGTAACAAAATAAAATTTTATCAGGAAAAAACAAGTTATAACTATTTCAAAAATACATTTGGAAGACTAATACAGAACCATGAGTACAGTCAATAGAATCTTAAAAATGGCCTAATGATAAAATATAGCAAAAAAAACCCAAGAAATTCGTAAATACCAGATTCTGTTCCTAGGGAGTTTGTTCTAAAACTATAGGTAGACAAAAGCATTTAACAATATAGATAAAGGGATTTATTGGTATTGGTCCACTTATTAACAGTGATTCTATTGACATACCTCTATTCTAGGCATGGGAGAGCATCAAGTACATGGTTTATGTTGTGCCTAAATGCAACAGCTGTTTACTTTGTAATCATTTAGAAAAGAACTTGTTGCAGAGAGCATAGACTGTTTTGTCTTTTTATGGTGCTGCCAAGGTCAGATAAAAAGGTCGCTTCGGGAACTTTGTCATCATGCCTCAAGAGAGTAAACTGTTAAGAGGCACTGCAATTCGGCCTTTCATTGTCATCACTCCTAAGCAGCACACAGGTATACATTTTTATAGACATAATTTGCATTTATCTAAGATAAATTCCAGTTAGTTCCAAATTGTAATTGAATACATTGTTTAAAATTTGGTTCTGTAAAGGATTAGGAATAAGATTGTTTTTTCCAAGAAAATTATTTTTTAACAACTTTATATTATGATTTTGCAGGGTATTAGCCATCCCTTGTTTCCCAGCCTTTGTTTTTCAGGGATTTAGAGAGAATATTGGTGGAAATATGCCATTTCTGCCTTTCTATAAAAAAAGTAATTTTTCAAAACTTAAGATTTATTGATCCTTACTTTTATAAACTATTGTTTGTGTAAGTATATTTGAGAATAAATATTTCTGCTACATTTTTATATTACATGAAGGGGATGGGATTCCCATTAAAATTTTCCTTAATCTGTTCTAGAATACTATACAATAATTATATCACCAATTTAGGCACCATTACTGTACGCAAGCCCAGCATTGATCAATAAGGCAGTCCTCATGAACGGGTTCCCCAAAAATAAGACCTATCCTGAAAATAAGACCTAGCTTGATTTTTACAAGTGCCCAATATAAGCCCTACTCCCAAAATAAGCCCTAGTTAAGTCCCATACCACTCTGTTGCACCTGGTTGCATGAGGTGGGACGAGGCCCACGGGTAAAAAGCTAGGGTGGGGATGGGGGGTCGAGTTGTTCCACATGCCCTGCACCCACTTACCTTAGGACAGTGCAGCCAAGCCTCGCACACCCTGACACCTACCTCGCCAGCCCACTTCTGTGGCCATTTGCGCATGTCACCCCCAGCCTCTGTTTCACCGTCAAGAGGCCTTTCTTGAAGGCCTCTGCAGCTGAGAAAGGAGCTCTGGACTGACGCGTGCAGCATCCCCCGGCCTTCGTTTCACCGTCAAGCGCTGTCAGAGCTCGTTTCTCGACTGCAAAGGTTTTTCCTGAAGGCCTCTGATGGTGAAACAGACCATGGGTGTTGTGGGAGAGCGACAAATACCCGTAGAAGTGGGCCAGCAGCAGCCACACAGGCTCCTGCTGCGCAGGGCTGTTGATGCCGTGAGGCAAGACAGTGAAAGACTTTCCCTGAAAATAAGACCTAATGCCTTTTTTGGAGGCAAAAAAAAAAAAAAAAAGACCGGATCTTATTTTTGGGAAAACACAGTAATTAAGTAAAAATGATTGCCATTTGATGACACCTTGAAAGTGTCTTCTCGAAATAGAATTGAATGTGTTTTTGAACATCCATTTTCAGAAGACAATTGGCTACAAAAATACCTGGGAGATGAAACAGAAGTATCCTGAATTACATTTGTTTTTTCTGACAAGATTTCAAATGTCAAAATATTTTAAACTTAATATTAGATATCAAAACGTCTATTTTGTTGTACAAAACTGTTGTACAAAACTGAAAAATCTTTATAATATAATCTTATTCTAATCTGTGATGTGTAAAGCTTAATTATTAGTCTGATGTTTATACCATTAGAACTTATTACTGCTTGTATCTTTTTAAAACAATCTTTTATTCTAAGTTATTAAAGGAGTGCCTTAAAAACAAATGTTTTTGCCCCAAAATAGCAAGAATTTCTCCCATTACATTTACAGATATCCTTTCTTATTTTTTGTGAAGCTTTATTATGGACTATAGTAATTCAGGAGATTTATCAAAAACTATAAAAGGTTTAACTAACCGCTTTGCAGAGTGAAATAAGACTTTAAGAAATCACTTTCAAAATGCCGCTTCTCAATTATCAGAAGCAAATACAGTATTTCACATTAGCAAGATCACTGCCATGATCTATTTCTGACACCCACTATTTCCTGATGCATAAAGTTAAATTCCTAGTATTCTCAGTAATGTCATATTGACTGGGAATTCCTGGGAGTTTAATGCCATTGATCTTAAACTTGCTTAAAACAATCCTAGATCAAGTACTTGATTAAATCAAACATATACATCTACAAAACTTACAATAAACGAAGCGGTCTACTCATAGCATTTAGTAGCACTTTTAAAAAGTAGCATCTTTTAAAGGGTGATGTTGGCATGTTCTAAGCTCAATAGCAGCCCTTTACAAGAATGGGCTCCTTTTGGGTCCACAATTTTATTATTTTTAGTGGGTGATCTGTTAATTGGAAATACATAAGTTCCCAAGTTTTTCTAATTTATTTTTTTAAAACTATTGATTAAAAATAAAAATTATCTGGGACTCAAACGAGAATAACAGAATATTTTGCTAGGTAGGTTGGCACCAATTTAGCGTTTCAGGTTTAACATCAGGTTATTTTACTTGAAGTTCAAATTAGTTTAAGTAGTTCCATCATCAACAAAAGCTTCAACAAACAGGCATTATTTAATAAAGCACAAACATTTTAATTGTAAGGAACAAAAAAACTATACAGAAATTTTTTCACACTAATCAAGTAAAAAAAAAAGTTCCAAATCAGTCTTATTTGGACGTCTTTGTTTCTGAAGGATTTTCACCAGTGTCGAGTGTCTTCAGCAATCGAAAAAGTCCAGCTGCTTCTCTTATCCGACTGAATTCAATACAAAAGGCTTGTACCTCTATAAATAAGTCCTGTACATTAATTATTTTGTTTCGAATCAAGGATTGCAGGAATACACAAACAAGGCGTACCAGCCGATTCTAAAGCAAACAAATAATGGATTTTTTAAAGAAACAGATTTCAATCTTGATATGGCAAAAAAATATTTAAAGATGCCAAGTCATCTCATAATTTATCTAAATTTGCAAATTTTAAATTCTGCAATTAACTGATGTTCCTAATAGCACATAAGTATTTACTGAAATGTCATTATTTCAAATGAATTTCGAATTACAGGTAGTCTCAACTTACAACCCTTCGTTTGGTAACCCTTCAAAGTTAAACTACTGAAAAGTGATAGCCAGACCTCATATTTACAACCATTTTGGCATCTCCACAGTCACATGATTAAAATTTAGGCACTTGGTAAACAGCATGTATTTTAGGACAGCTGCATCTTGAAGTCATGTGACACCATTTGCAGCCTTCCCAGCTGGTTTCCAATGAGCCAAGTCAATGCGGAAAACTATACTTGTTTAATGACATCATGATTCACTTAACTGCAAAGATTCACTTAACCATCATGGCAAATAAAATAGAAGATGAGGCTCAATCACCTTGCTTAACAACGGAATTTTGGTCTCAATTGTGGTTTTAAATTGGGGACTACCTGTATCAAAGGAATTAAGACAAAGTGAAATAGGATTCTTTTGTTCTACTGTTCTGAAAACAAGCCTTTTTTGTTTCCCTTTTTATATTCACTACGTACAACCCCAAAAGAATATAATTAATGTAGCAAATGCTACATTAGTAGGTTTCTCACAATTTAATGGTGGATTGTTCTTTCTACTCTATAATAATCCACGGTACGGTAAACAGGCTTATAAATATGTTTTTATAAAAGAAAACTAGTTGTGTTCCTGCCTAGATTCCGACAGCAAAGCATTACCTCTCCCACTTTGTTTCTTCTTCTCTTCCCTCAAAAATGACAAGAAAAAAAGAAACTGAGATGATAGCCATAGCATTTAGACTTATATACCACTTCACAGTGCTTTACAGCCCTCTCTAAGCAGTTTACAGAGTCAGCAATTGCCCCCAACAACCTGGGTCCTCATTTTACCCACCTCGGAAGGATGAGTCAACCTTGAGCCACTCAGGATCAAACTGTCAAACTGCTGGCAGCCAGCAGTCAGCAGAAGTAGCCTGCATTACTGCATTCTAACCATTGCAAAAATCAGGGCTCCTCCTATAGGACCCAATGATCTCAAAGTATGGCTAAAATACTAAAGGCTGCTGTTTCTAATAGCCTTTCCCAAAATTGCCCTATTTTTGCTAAGAGTTTACTAATCAAATAAGTCATTCCAGAGTACTTAGACCCATAATTATATCCCAGTGAAGTTATTTAACAAAATAAAAGATTTGTGCAAGAATACTACGTGCTGATTGACTTTAGTCAGAAATGTTATCTCTGGAGCAGGGAATTAGTATAAAATAGGAATTATCAAAAACTAGTTTCTTTCAAGATAAGCAGAGTAGCTAACAGTGAAGTCTCTTAATAGATCTACTAGTTTATGTGAAATTTCAAAAAGCTACTAATTATCTACATAGTGACCCTTGTAAGGATGGTGAAAGCAGCAAATGACTCATTTATCATCACAATGATATGCACCATTATCTGAAATTTTAAGATTGGGAAAAAGCAGGAATAGATTAAGTTGTTTTTTCATCCAATTTCCAATCTAGATTCACCTTGAAAGCACTATCATTGTAATAGATACCAGCTGCTTGCTCATATGATGTCAGCCCACTGGGTAAAAATCAACTCCACAGGTAGGCTACTTTTATTGAGATAGGTTATAATAAAATATTGCAACAAATTCTGAATTAGAGAGGCATCTGCTTGAGCTGCTCCTGAATGTTATCTCATTGTGGATTTTAACAAATGCTTCAACCTTTTTTCTGTAGGCAATGGATTTTGCATGTTTCCATCAAAGGTTCCTTTTTCCCTACAGTTCATTTAAGAATGTCTGCATTCATCAAAGTCAGGAAAATGGCATATTAATAAAATCTGACATGTAAATGGAACATAGGCTCAACAGCTCACCCTTTAAAGGGGAAAAATCTGGAGAAATCTTTGTCCAAATGGGAAGAGATAAATATCAATACAAATATAAATGTTTCAAAAGGTTAAAATCCTCCTTCAAATGTAGAACCAACAGAGTTATGGGTCCCTGAGTTGTTAAAAATATCCAGAAACTACAGGGCTACCATCGAAGCAACATTCCCATTCAACCAGAAAGTTCTTTGCAGCAATGACTTTTTGTATTTTAGCTGTCAATAAACAACATATTCAAGCATATGAATAAACAAATTTATACAGAGATACTGAAATACTCTGCTCTATTCATTGTAGACATACATTTAAAGTATTTAAAGTATAGTGATGAACAGAATTTTGCTATCATGTTTACATGTTTGAAAAAAACTGATGACTATTTCTGTGATTTTTGTTTATGCCCTTGGTCTTCTAAGTATGCAACAATACATCATCATAATATGCTGTATGTGAAATATGCCGAAAACATAAGGAACTTACTTTCTTTCTAGTCAAGGGGTTTTGCAGTTCTTAAACTCTGCAACAATATTTTTTGCTTCCCCAAGTTTTTTTACTGCATTTTCAATTACTTTATTCAAAAAGCCTATAGTTTCTTTTTGGACACTTACCTGCATATACTTATCCTTAATTTGTTCACAAGTAGAAATACAATTGGATATATAAAGATGAATAAATTCTGGAGGAAGATCAACTGCTGTAGTGAGCCTATTGAATATTTAAAAGTTAATTATTTTCAAATTGGCCATCTTTGCTAATAATCCATCTGTCACTTCAGTTCTATCGTAACAGAGAGCCAGTTTGCATAGTGATTAAGGCATCAGCTTAGAAACCATAAGACTATGAGTTCTAGTTTTGTCACGAAAGGCAGCTGGGTGACTTTGGGCCAGTTAGTGTCTCTCAACCTAACCCACCTCATAGGGTGGTTGTTATGGGTAAAATAGGAGAAGAAAGCAATATTAGAAATGTTCATCATGAGTTATTTATAAAAATAATAAAGGCATGATATAAAAATATTTTTAAAAATATTTTGTTTTTTTATTAATATATACATTGTATTCTTATTCTATTATATTCCGTGTTTCTGAACATTCTGTTCCTTTAGTCCTCAAACTTTTTAAATGGGGCCAATTCACAATCCCTCAGACTGTTGGGGGGCCGAATTGGCTGGTTGGGCGTGGCTAGTTGCTGGTGACTGGGTGGGTGTGGCTATTTGGTCATGTGACTGGGTGGGCGTGGCCAATTTAGCAGTCCATTAAACAATACACATAAATTAAACTTTAATTTGTTTTGCTCCTGGGGTGTTTTATTTGCTTTTATCCTGACAGAAGAAGCAACATTTGTCCTAATTTTAAAAAGATGATTGTTATTCTTGATACAATCCACAACTTGTTTTTCAACTAGAACAATAATTCTGAGTGATTGTATATGACTGTTGCCATATTTCCTTCAAAATACTTATTATATCTCTTTTGTGTAAAATAAAGCATCTAACACGACTAGCAATACTATTATTAAATGTTATTATACATAAAATGTTAAATAGTTAAATGTACCAAAATAACATGCTGTGCTAGAGAACACGGAGTAAATTTAATATCTATACATCCATCCTTTTTCAGAATGCAACTAAATAATCATTATTGGTTAGATTATGGATATATGAATATAGTTCACATCAAATATTCTATTCAGAATGTTATCTTTCCCTTCCTCAAAGGAAAGGAAACTTTGCAGTCTTTAAAAGTATGAACAATTGTTTTCAGTCACACCATAAGATGCCATTATGTACCAGTATAGCATATTTGAGTATTGACTTTTTATAAACTGAATATAGTCAAATATTATATATGAATAGTTACTGTGTTAATCATGGTGCCAAAAAGAGTAAATATTCTTGAAATTTATCTTAAAGAATCACCAATACAAATTGTCCTGATATTATAAAAATTACACTGAGTTAACTGTCTTTGAGTCCAATTAAATAACTATAAGTGTGTCATTAGGACATCACTTCCAGGCAAGACTCTTTCTTATAATTTTCTTTTCCCCAATATTCTCCCTCCCATGCATATAGACAAGATCTGCTCTATCCTATTACAGTATCTGAAACTGCAATCAGAACACCAACATAATCATAATTATAAAGTACCTCCCATAATCACAATTAGCCATTTATACAGGAGAACAAAGATGTTACTAGAGTGGATAGTAAACTAACCTATAGTTGTCCTAATATCTCAAAAGGTTAGGCTTAGGACTTTAGATTACCGTATATTCCAAACTGCAATTTACTTTCCACAGAACCTGTGAAAATCAAATTATAGGTAGTCCTCGACTTACAACCATTCATTTAGTGACGTTTGAAGTTACAATGACACTAAAGAGATGATTTATGACTGGTCCTCACACTTATGCAGCATCCCTATGGTCATATGATCAAAATTCAGATGCTTAGCAACCAGCATGTTTTTATGATGGTTGCACCGTCTCAAGGTCATACTACCATTTGCAACTTTCCCAGCCAGCTTCCAATAAGCAACAGAACCATGTGATTCACTTAACAATTAGATTTAAATCATAAAATTGGGTGAAATTCATTTAACAACCAACTTGCTTAGCAACTGAAATTCTGGTTCCAGTGGTAAATTGAGGACTACCTGTACTCCACTAATACAATCATTCAAAGTATAATTTCTTAATGGGAGAAAACTGTGATGGAATTTTGTAGATGTTCATGTAGATGTTGAAAAATCAAGCTTGTTTAACTAAATATATATATAGTAAAGAAGCATTTTACTTACCGATTTACAACTTCCATTGAATGTAGAGACATATCCATGTTGACTAATACTGAAAAGTACTCAGTTATCTGACTTGATTGCATTAATTTAAGCAGCATTTCTATAGCTACTAAAGGATTGTTTTCCACCAGATCAGGCAATTTGGCAGGAGTGAGGCCAATATGGTAAACAAGCTTAGGATCTTTCTCCAATTCTCCTAGAAGCTGCATTTTAAAAATATAAAACAGTTTAACTATTAACAATTATGTGATTACCTTTCAACTTAATTTATTTATCTAGATTGCTAGTTAAAATAAAATTATAGAAAAATCACAGTAATTATTGACGGCCAATATGGCATGATGTGCAAAAATGAGGGAGATTGGCAGTAAAGGTTTTAATTCTATTGCTAGTAAAAGTGATTTCTGTTGAACTAATTTTTAAGCATTCATGTTCTATTTTATAAAATTAACACAAGGTCCAAACATTAAACAAGTAAATAAATCTACAAGTCAGCAATTTAATTATCTACTCTATCCCCCATCTGAAGCCATATGAAGCTTTAAAGACATGTGCCATGCATATATTGAATTTAAACTCAGTCAATATGAAATTAAATAAATAAATTTTAATTTCAGTAAATAAAACATTTCAATTTATTAACTGGGTTTTAGTCTTATCTGGATGATTGTGCTCACCATAGCCAGGTATACTCCTAGATTTTCAGGTTGTAGCTATGGCAAGAAGCACTCTGAAAAGTTTAGGAAACTGCAATTGCTTCAAAGTGGCTGCTAGACTAGAAATTAGTGTAAGATAGTGTTGTTCCGGAATGATGATCTCAACTATGGAATTCTTTTTTGGCACATTTAAAGCTGACATTAAGCCATAAAACAGTACAGCCTGGTAACCTAAGGTACAACTTCTCAATTATCTGGTTACCTGAAAAACAACCTCTCAATTATAAACCTGATATGAAGGACTGCAGAAGCTGTTCTTGAAGTTGCCCATATGTTCAGAGGCTTTTTACAAGATACAAAGAAAATGGCCTTTTCTGCAATTGTTTATTCATTCATTCATCAAATTTAGCTGCATGTAGATTGCATTACAGTAATCCAACTAAATCAGGCCTGTCAAACTGGCACCCACCTCTCACCAGCCCACAGAGAGCATACCCACCCCAGCTCCGCAAAGGCAAAAAATATTGTGATACATCACAATATGGCCCGCGATGCGAGCGGGTTTGACACCCCTGAACTAGATGGTGATTAGATTGTCTAAGTGACTGAGTAGAGCCTCTCAACCTAGGAATAGGTACAATTGACACCCAGTACAAAGTTGAGTAAAGGTCTTCCTAGTCATGAGTACCACCTGCTCTTTGATCAGAAGTCATGAATCTCTGTGATGAAATACATGAATATCTTGCAGAAAGAGGATCTGCCTAGGAAACAATAGGCATGATCCCACAGTTGCTTAATAGTCAAAGAAAAAACTAAGACTGATCTTAATGGATCCAATACTTAAAACTGAAAGCAAGAACTTTATGCCTCCAGCCTTGCAAGAGTCTGCTAATATGGTCTTACAACCAAGCAGAATTAGTTCATCTTGTCATATTTTCAAGCGGTTTTGCCTGGGAAGATGCACAGTCTTGTCCTCATATTGTGCATGGGATCTGTCTGGAGAGTTTAGCCCATCCAGCACCAAAGATGGCACAGTCCTAGAACCTGCAAGGCTCAAAACCCAAAACAGCTATCGGAAGATGTAATAAGGGTGGAAAATTACTGACACTTTACCACTCTAACCACCACAAAGTAGGCCTTAACAGCAATTCTAACTCATGTCCAATCAAGTTCTTCTCCCTCTATAATGCCAGCGGTGCTCTATTTATCTCTTGTCTTGCTTCATCTGACTTAATTGCTCTGTAAATCGCAGGGAGTGACAGTATCCATGAGATGGTAGTGGTTGTAAAGGCACAATCCAATCTAAAGCTGTTTTCTCATTCAAATTGGCAACCAAGGCTTCAGATGGACCATGCAGCAGACTAGCAGGAATAGCCCCCAGCTTTCTCTGACAACCATCAGAGTCCATCAGTGGCCAGAGAGAACTGATCATATTGCTCCCAGATTACAGTACACAGCTCTTTTGTAGTTGGTTGGCTACTTCTTTCTTGTGTCTTTAGGAAGATTCTTTTTACCCCAATCTTTAAAGCCAATTTTTAATTATGTTTTAATAACTTAAAAATTAAGAAAAGTTAGTGAACACTGTAAAGTGCTTTGAGTTCTCAGTTTCAATGGCAAGGCAGTACATGTCAAGTCAATATAATAATCTTAAAGCAGCAACTCATGGCAAGGTTACAGGGGAATGTTTTTACTTTTTGATGTGGTTACTGAACTGTTAATCTTATATCACAATTTTGGGGTTCTAGTAAACTTGAGCTAGCTTTAATTTAGTTAAAATTAAGATATTATTTTAATAATAGAATTAAACAAGTCAGCAATTGACTTCATACCTGCGTTTGTTGCTGTGATGACAAAGGACTTTTGAATGCTTTGGCCATGATTCGTTTGATTTCCACTCCAGCGCTATTTTTAACACACATTGACTTATCCCACTGAATTGTATGATCTGGCTCTATTGGATTTAACCAAGCTAATTCATCTTCACAAATATGGAGAGGTGGTGGTGGGCGGATAAATTCTGGTCGAAAATGACCTGAAAAATATATTACATTCTTTTTAAAAATATCTCTTAAAAGTCAAAATATTTATCCAACAATCAAAATGTTCCCAAGCATATGATCTGTTTCTATATGTTATATTGTATATAATACAATATATCATTCTTTGTAGCTTACGTTGCAATATATAGTATAGCGTATTTAATCTACAAACTGATAATCCCAAGCATTTAGACCAGCATATTTCTATGCTCATCTTTCTTAGCATCTATTGATCCTAATTTTATATAAAGCGGCAAACTTTTTGCAGAGATATCCTTTACAGAACTCTCCAATGCCAATTGGGATAGTAATAAAATCACCATGCCATACTGTCCAACAAAGCTATATTCTGGAAAAGTAAAGCATAAGGAACAGAATTTAAGACCATTAAAAATCAACTTTATGATTCTAAACAAACATGCAACCATCTTTTCCTTACATCCTGCTTTTCAATCTGAAGGACTGCATTCATATGAACAACACTAACTATAAACACCAATTTCAGATATAAACACGAACAGAAATAAGGCATGGAAAAGAATATGATTATTTAATTCTTATGTTGTAACCCTATAAAAGGTATCCCAAAATGATGCATACTTTCAATAGGTGGTTTTGGTCCACTCACTAAGGCTTCAGTAATCTGGGATGCAACAGAACTGTCAAAACCAGAATTTGAAGAATCTGGATCAGGATCACTGAGAATGCTAGGAAAGCTAGCTTTACTTTGTGTTGGTAGTTCAGACTGACGTTCTGAAAGAAAAATTAGATTAATTCAATTTCAGCATCCAAAATCTTGAATCACAAAAACAAGAATAAACTTGTTGACAAATCCAGACTATTTCTGTTAATGAGAAATTAGGATTATCTGCAAAAATTAGGCACCAGGCTAGAAAGTAGGAGACTGTGAATTCTAGTCCCACCTTAGCCATGAAAGCCAGCTGGGGGACCTTGTGCCAGTCACTCTCTCTCAGTCCACATCACCTCACAGGATTGTTGTTGTGGGGAAATTAGGAGGAGGCAGGTCTGTTCACCGCCTTGAAATATTTGTAAAATAACTACAAATACAAATAAACAAATCATTCCTTCTTTTAAAATCCAAAATTTTTAATCTCTAGTAGCTCTTTGACCATACTACTTTATTTTTAAAGATAAAGCTGAGTTTCCAACAAGCGACTATTGGTGGACAAAATAGTTTACACAAATTATTCCATAAATACTCAGTTATTTGGATTAACAAAATGGTTCATTATCACATCACTATTGGTATTTTGAGTTCCATAACTCTTCCTGCATGTCTGCTGTGATTCCTATTAAGCAACAATCTTATTCTTGGCCTTCATACATCATTCTTTATAGCTGAAAAGGAAACACTTTGTCTCCACGTATTACATTTATAAAACATCATACTTTTTAAACTGTAAACTTGGCACCTGAGAATCAGTCAGTACCAGAGACAAAGTTTCTGAATATACCTTGGTACCCAACTGCTTTGAAACTCATTGAATTTGGTACTCAAGGCATTTTGATGCAAAAAAATTATTCTGGTACTCTTTCTTTGGTACTCAATGCACAAGCTAGAACTTGTTAATGTCAATTGTTTTGTGATTCACTATATTATTCCTTATGGGAAAAATTTGTTTGGTATGCATTGTTTTTAGTAGTCATTGCACCTCCCAGAACCAATTAATGAGTACTGATGTACCACTGTAGCAGTTAAATGGTAATCAATTTACTGACAGACAGAGAAAAAAAATCTAATTTTTATTGTCTGGAGACACTTATATACCACTACTGTTTATAACAAAATTTTCCTTTAAAATGGACAGACTTAAATATAAAAGAAAATAAAATGCAAGCATGTAATTTCTGTAGTGTCCATGATCAGGGTTAATTTTTAGGAAGGGTTTTGACTGTGTCAGTTTCATTCTACCATTCAATATATTATTTTGAAGTGTGTTTAATCTATGGAATTAACTTCTAAATATTAAACTTAGATCACTCATCCCAAGATACAGTGACCATAGTTACTTTTTTAAACACAAAAGAAAGAGAATGAATTTAGCCATCATCCTATAATGTATATTGCAAATAAATTATAGAATGGTCCATCAAAACTAATTTACTATTATAATGTGTGAGCTATGCTTACTGATATAAATGGCATGAAACTACTATCAATGCCTTTCTCACACTTCTGATAAAGATTAGAAAAAATAAGCCCATCTGTTACTTACACTATATTTTCTGTAGGTGAAAAGCAAAGGTAGCCATATTAGCCTTCAGAAAAAAAACATCATCAGAGCAATTTCTTTTCCTTAAGACCACAAACAGCACACAAATTTTCAAGTTCTCTAGTGCTCTTTGAGACCAAGAAGGTAAATAGAACAAATAAAAGGGAAAGAGTCTGATTTTCAAATGACCAGGTCTACTAAAATATCTACCTAATAATCTAAGAATCAGATTAAAAATTAAAGTTGTTCATAGTTTCATTCACCTTTATAAAAAATATTATGAGAATAGATTCTAATCTCAATATGACCATAGTATTGATTGATAGGAGTTTCAAGTCAGTTTGCTACAAGGAAGAGTTTGAAAATTTCAAGTTTATAGCAAGGGTCAAAAGCTTTTTTAAAAAATCTAATAATACAACCTCAGAACCAGCTCAATTATAACTCTCTCTTCTCAAAGCAGGGAAAATGAAGTGAATCTCACGTTGCACTAATGAAGTATTTCTATACTCAACAATATTAGCATAAAATTCCATATATAAAGTGAATTCTGGGGGAGTGGGAAAATGAGTTTATGAGATTTTTATTATATATATATATATATATATATATATATATATATATATATATACACACACACACACACAAACACACACACACATACACATATATACATATATATATATATATATATATATATATATATGTATACATACACATACAGACACGCACATGTTATGAATCATACAAAAAAGCAATGTTCTGAATTACTATCACAGCTCTTATAGAAGCGCATTGCATTTCAGAGTATTTGTCATTTCAATAATAGATATTAACATAGCAAAGGCTTAGAACTTTGACTGGATTTGCAATTCTCACTATGCACAAATGACACATCACATATAGATTCAAAATTTCTATAAAAGGATATTTTATTTTACAGGGAAATTTTTATTTTAAGTATAGGATGTTGATTTTCAAATAATGACAAAACAATGAAGTATTGCTTATGTGCTTTGTTGATTTAGGAACAAAAACACACAGTGACTCCATAGCAAATTGGAAATTATTATTTTACTTTCTAATATGTCATAAATTATTTCTTCAAAACTATACATACCAGTAATTAACATTGCAGAAACTCATATAATTAACTTCAGGCAAAACTAAAAATGTGCTATGGAGTTATGAGGAAAAAGAAAAATATTCACATGCAAGTTTAAACACATTTTATATTTCATTAAAACAGAGGTCTGTAGGAATGATTTGTTTGTTACCTGCTAATGCTAACTGAAGACCGCTTATATCTACAGATTGGCCCATATTTCCTACATCCATCGATACAATTTGTCTTGGAGTCTTTTTGAAGAGTTCTCTAGGAGGGGCCAACATCAGCTGGGAAAGAAAGAATCTTTCTGGTGGAGTAATTGCGGGCAAAAAGCCTTTAAAAAGAAGAAGTTATTTTATAATACCAGCAATTTTCAAAGAAGTTATAGCATTTCTATTGTTATGAGCTCAATCCAGAAAGGTATGAATTCAGTGAAATTAGTATTCTTGCAGATAAAAGCAGGGGAAGGGGATTCTCACCATGCAACCACCCATCTGATAGTCCGGGCTTCCTAGGCTGTCCAAAATCCATTCGAGAAAATTTGGGAGAGGAGACTCTAGCAGTGCTAAAAGTGAGGTTCTGGACTGAGGGAATTGTGAAAATACATTTTTCCTTCTGTCTTCAAGACTACCAAGTAAGCAGAGTAGAAGTGCCCATTAAGAAAATACTAGGTTAGCTTTTCACAAGCGACATCTCCTTTTTTTGTATGCTAAATCATACAATAAAATGAAATACAAAGCTTCTGTTCAGCTAAGAGAACCAGAACCATAGAGAAGCGATAGAAATAATGGATGACAAAATGTAAATAAGGCAGGAAAAAGTCCACCATCATCTTTCCCAATTTGAAGGGAATGCTGCTCACATGACCATAATAGTGCATATATCATTGGCTATTTTCATATGCCCCACGTATAAGGGTTCCATGATATCAATAAATACAAAACACTACCTTCATTATTTGCCACAATTCATTGATCTTATCCATAGATAAAACCAAATCAAATAATGGCAGTTTGTTATTTATCTAAACAAATCATTAGCTGTTATTAATCACTTTCTAGTAACAATTAAATAGAAAGGACAGAGGAAATATTACTTCCAGTATGAGACTTAGTTTCCAAACATAGCTGAAAGTCGTGTTTGATAAATATGCATTTATTGCTGTACAAATACTTGTTAACAAAAAGCATGCTGATAAACACAGAATATATGCTACCTATTCATCAACTGTCTACTTTCATTTTGTGTGGACATTTTTATACCAAAACCTGCAGGTTAATAAACTATGTAAGGCATAGATGGTTAAATTAGAACAGAATAGGAATGTTTTCCAATCTTTCATCAGGTAACATTTAGCATTAAACTGGGGATCCCAGTCTCAACAACAATCAAAAGTTGGGAACTGAAGACATCTGAAAAGAATTAACGAAGGATTACAGGAGGAGCAGTTATTGCAATTAGATTTAAGATTATGTCACACATCAAAAGGCCAAGAGGGATATATTGAACCCCCGATAACAGAGAAATTATTCCTCTCAATCTGGTTGAAGCGACTGAACTATGGTTGCCCCCTCAGTTTAAAAGAAGGGAGGAAGAAACTCGAAGTTGCAAAATGCTCAGATATTACAACCCAGCTTTCAAAGTCTATAGAGATTCTCAATCATCCGGGTCATGGTTGTCCCAAAGGTGCTTTTTCAGGAGGCCAGCTTGTTTTTTTTCTTTGAAGACGTTTCACTTTTCATCCAAGAAGCTTCTTCAGCTCTGAAGAAGCTCTGAGCTGAAGAAGCTGAGAAGATAAAAATCTTCAAAAAAAAACAAAAACAAAGAAAGTCCAGTTGGCCTCCAGAAAAAGCATCTTCAAAGAATTCATGTTGCCTCCTACTCCCCCCCACCCCCAAATTTCAAAACTCTTTCTGGGAAAGTCCAGGCTTTTTACCGAAATGGCAAAAGGGCGCCGACCCCAATGGCAATTCGCCCAGGCCCAACTGGAGGCCAGGTGAGGGAGCTACCTGAGAGCGGCGGCCTTTCGTTGTCGTCCCCGCCGCCGCTCCCTGCCGCTCCGGGGCCCGAGCCGGCGGGGGCGCGCTCGGGGGGCGCCGGATTCAGGAGGTGGGCGAAGATGGCGGCGAAGGGGTTGGCGGCGAGCGGCTCGGTGCGATACATCTCCCAGAGGAGGTAGAGGGCAGTCAGGCGCTGCGGCGGCGTGGGAAGCAGATCCGGCTGCTGCAGCAGCAACACCAGGACGGAGCCTACGCGGAAATGCTCGGCCTTTCCGAAGTAGTGGTGGAAGGCGGTGGAGAGGCCCTCGAAGGTGCTGCCTCCGGCCTCCTCAGACACGATGCTCAGCAGGCTCGTCAGCTCCTTCGGAGAAAGGCTCATCTTTCCCGGCAGCGACGCGACGGTCTCACTGTTGTTGTTGTTGCCGCCGCTGTTGCTACTATAACCGGCGACGGAAGCAGCGCCGTCCCCACCACCGGGAATCGAACCTGCCGCCGCTTCCACAGCACGGCCAGGCTCGGGACTGAGGCGGACCCCGCTCGCTAGCATCCAGCTCCACCCTTCCCGCTCTCGGCGGCCTGCTGCGCGCGCCCCTGCACTCGACCTACCTAGCGACTCCTCCCCTCATTATTTTGTTTTCCCTTCCCCGCGCGCGCGCGTGCCTCAAAGAGCCACGACTCTCCCCACCACCCACCCGATTCTTTTCCCCCTCCCGCGTTCCCCGGATTTATTTTTTTTTTCCTCCCCCTGCCGCTGCTGCCGTAAAGCGGTTTGTATCGTTTGAAATGATTACTCTTTTTCAGTACTGCCGTAAAGCCAAGAAAACAGGAGGAGGAGGAGGATATCGATAGAGCGGTGTTTCTCAAGCTTGGCAAATTTAAGATGTATGGACTTCAACTCCCAGAAATCCCTAACCAGCCGTGCTGACTGGGGAGGTTCGGGATTTGAAGTCCACACATCTTAAAAGTTGCCAAGATTAAGAAACACTGCCATGTAAGAATGGAAACTAGGAGCTATTTCATTAGCTGTTTAAAAACGTCATCTCAGGAAAACAAAAGGAAGAAATTGTTTTCCTTGCGTGTTGATTTTTGAAGTCTGGAACGAATATGTTGCTTTGTTAATAGACTGGTAGTTTAAATTCCAAATGGAACTTTAAATAAAAAGTAGGAAACTGAATCTCATCTTAATATTTTTAGAGGTAAAAATGAAGAACTTTTATTGCACCGTACAATGTAAAATCTATGGGTTTAAGTACTTCTCTATTTGGCATCTTGCTTGATCTTGAAAAGCTAAGCTGGGTCAGCCTGGTACATTCTGTGACGTTTAACAGAGTTTATTTCTCTTATTTCACCCTGAGTTTTTATCTTATTTTATCCATTTAATTTTAAGCAAATCTGGAGTATAGTTAAGCTGAGACAATTATTTTCATGGCTATCTGATCTGAATATGTTATCTGCACATTTGATTCTGTTGAAGATTTAAACTAGTTCTGTGCTCTAGTGCAAAATTAGTTCAAATCCCATAAGCATAAAATCCAAAAATAAAAAAAATTAATACTTTGAATGTCTTAATGTCTCATTGATGCATTAATGAATGCATCTTCCTACTTTTGGGGTCTGGGTGAAGTATGTATCCCTTCATATGCTTAGGATTTTTTCCCATAATATTCAACTGAAATTATTAAAATACAAATCACATTTGTCTATTCAGAATGAGATAATTACACTTAGCTAATAATCATTGTCACTACTATGATACAGAAGTGTGGATCTGATGGTTTTATATTGGATCAACCTGAAAACAGTCAAATTAAAAATCACATCCATCTGCCAAGTTTAATTATTTTCAAATACAATATAACTTGTTTTACTTTACACTGTTAGGAAGAAATGAAGAAGATAAAATCAAACTAGAAAATTTGCAGTAATATGTGAAAGTGAACATGAAAATAAACTGGGAAAATCAAAGCAGGAAATTAAAAGACATTGTGAAACTAAATATAAAAATAAAGAGGGGAAATCAAAGTAGGGCCTTTTTAAAAGACATTGTGAAACTGAGTACAAATTCTGGAATGGATTATCTGATAAATTTACTAGATATGGGTTTTTGATAGAGAAATTAACAAGAGTCTGCAGCCCAGTTGATTTAACTGTAATGCCTAGTGTAGTAATACTGTAAATTGGCAAGATTAAATATTCTAAGTCTTTTCTATTTTTTTTACTCTCTTTTGTTTACTACTACCCACTATTTGCACTATATTATTTAAGCCCTAAGTTTGATATGGATTCATAAATACTGGGAGATATAAAAGTTATAATAAATAGTTATTAAGTATTATATCCATTTTAAAATATTTTTCAATATTTGTACTAGGATCATATTGTGTAGCTGAAGAAATTAAAATTGTTTCACATAAGTTTGATCATGATGGAAGACTAAAATCTCATCTAAGATGATTTTATTGATTACCAGGACCCTGAGTTATAAAGCATCTATCTTATCTACATGAGGTTTCAGTTTATTTCTTATCCTCTCCAGAGTTGTCAGCAGAAAATCTATAGTATATTTCCTGAAACTCATTTTATGACTGAAGCACAGTAGTGACAGAATTGATTTCAAACAGAATGGCTGTCTAAGAGAAATAGTGCAATATCTACACTGTTTAAAATGTGAATAAAGAACATATCAATCAATAGTGTTGTAATAAAGAAGAAGTAGATGGATATAAACCTTAATTTTTGTTTCTAAAGTAACTGATAACATCACAAGAGAAGACTGTTTTCAAGTCCCTTAATTTTATGCAATTATGCAAATATACATAGTAACATTTAAAAATTAACTATAATTTATATATAACTATATATTATATATAACTATAATTTATAGGCATTTCTCTGTCCAAATGGAAACTTTGTCTTCTTCCTTTATCAGCACCTAGATGTAAATATTTGCATAAATATTATGAATTGCCATTTGCTAACTGATCACAGGTTTATATCTTACCAACTAGCTAGAGCTTCATTATTTTTAATCAACTTTACAAACAGGACAAAAAAAAGTTCTTTAATTTTCTTTTTATTTATTTTTCTTTATATATTAAATTTATATGCCATCCATCTTGCCAAGAGGAGACTCTAGATTGCTTACAAAACTTTTAAATACATATAATATAGTGTGTTTCTTGCTTTAGCAGCATCCCATAATTTAAATTTAAACCCATAATGCTATTGTTTTGAAAGAGACCATACTCAGCAACATACAGAAATTCTAACTGAATGCAACATGTTTCGTAAAAGGAGTCACATAAAAATAGTTTTACTGAGAAAGAATGGTATCAAAACAATGGATAAGAGGATTATATTTCATGAATTTGACCATAACATTATAGGGCAAAATCCCTATGCACAGTAATCAGTTCTTGGGGTAAAGGGGGTATTGGACCTATATAAACAGAGGAATAGCTGTGTGTCTTCTATTAAACATACTGAAAATGCATTTGATATTGCAAGGGAGAACATGAAAAGTTCAAAGATCAGCATTAGTGTGGGAGGAGGGGAAGTGAAGATAAGTGAAAGAAGAGAAAGAAACACACTGGGAAGATTGGGAAATCAGTGGTCAGATGAGTGGGATATACAGCTGAGACCACTGCAGTAAGGAACAAGTACATATGCCAGTGGATACATCCCTCAAAATCATTCTGGGATCCCTCCAGATTTCATGGTCCAGAGGACTGAAAAGGCATTAATCATTAGCAATACTTACTTCCAGATTTCATTGTCCAAATTAACATTCTGTCCTATGTTCCAAGGTAGAGAAATAATATAGAAGAATATGATGGTTGAAGATGCAGCATGCACCTAAAAGATATTTAAGAAACCAGAAAATCACATTCTTCTTATCCATTACGCAGCCTTGCGTTAATGATAAAACAAATTGTGTATATGATTTTGGGATTCAAGTGGATTTGACATAAACATCATGAAGATACATGGCTCAGATCCAAATTTTTGCAACTTGGCAATGCCCAAATCAGTTGAATCCCAAATTTTAATTGCTCTTTATTTTTATTTATTAAATGTATATGCTGTCCATTTCACTATCCAAAGTTTATCTGAAAACTTTATTTATTTGAACAATTCATAATATGGCCCATTTGTAAATCTAGACAGGAAATCAGCAGCAGAAACAACAAAATCATGCAATTAAGTAAAAATAAATATCAACCACAAGCACCTATACTCAAATGATTATGTACATACAGATATAATCTTGTGTTTTGATCATCACTTCAGGAGATAATAAATAAGTACAGTTAGCAGCAGACATAATTTTACATAATTCAGAGCCCCAGTTTATCATGGCTAAATTAAAATAGAGATAATTCTGGTTACTGCCTGTTACTATCATTCACATCATCCATAACCTGCAACTGATAGCAACAAAATAAAGAAGTACGTTAAAGGAAAGATGAATGCAGTTAATTTCAGCAGCCAAAACTTATAATTCTATTTTATTTTGGAGATTGGCTCTACCTCCTCTGCATACTTAGCCATCGCAGTTAGAGTGCCATAGCCCATAAACATGAGAAAGTTACTTGTATAAGCTACATGCTCAGCAAAAAAAAAAACCTCCTGCCCCCTGATAGAAGCTGAATCAAGCCAGCTAAAATCTGCCAAGGTGCCCAGAATAGACTGTCCCTCCTGGGTTGATTAAAAGCAATCCTAAATGGTCAATTAGTGTCCAGACTGCTTTTTATGTATATTGATAGCACTGATGGAATTCCAAAAGATCAGACCTAGTATTCCTATTTATAGAATTGTAACAGGCTACTTTACTGATTATCATTCATTCAATCTATTCAGCAGAATCTATGCCAGACATCTGTAGTGGAAGTTGCCAAACAGGTTGAACTCAAACATTGCCCCGACAGGGAGACAAGCAAGCTTTTGACATCAGTTGATTACTGCCTAATATTAAATCATCTGGAAGAAAAATATACACAAAAGTTGATGTCTGCTTTACATGCAGCTTTTGTCAATTTTAAGCAAGCTTTCAGTCAGATTCACAAATACAAACTTTCAGTTGGAATTTCATCTATATAAAACCATACCTGATGATGAAATATATAAAAATATATAAGAAATACTTTATGCCACCAGACTTGAAATTTTGGGCTTAGACAACTTACAACTTCACCGTCTTCGGTCTGACCTAAGCATAGTACATAAAATCATCTGCTACAATGTCCTACCAGCCAATGAATACTTCAGCTTCAACCAAAACAATACAAGAGCACACAATAGCTACAAACTCATGGTAAACCGATCCAAACTAGACTGCAGAAAACACGACTTTAGTAAGAGTTGTCAACGCCTGGAATGCACAACCTGACTCTGTGGTTTCTTCCCCAAATTCCCAAAAGTTTAACCTTAAGACTGTTTACTGTAGACCTCACCCCATTCCTAAGAGGTCTGTAAGGGGCGTGCATAAGCACACCAGCATGCCTACCATCCCTGTCCTAATGTTTTCTTTTATTTGTATCCATTTCTTGTATTTATAATTATGTTTACACTTGTATCTGTCATAAAATACATGCTTGACAAAATAAATAAATAAGTAAAATGATAATATGTCATCTATATTAAATACTGATGCTGTATAACACGGTAATTCTTTCTCCATCATCAATAAGGCTAAAGAGAATAGTGTGGATTTTTTTACTGTAGAAAACAATAGATGGATATACATTTTGATAAAA